GGGAGTAACTACTCAAATGGTAACTAAATACAGACTGTATATTTCCAGTAAGAGAAAGTGAAATTACACTCCGAACTGTATAAGACGGCCATCCATTGTTGAGGAGAAAAATGACTGTATTAGACAGGTGGTCATCCTACACGGGGTCATTATAATGTAAAAAACAAACAAACAACCCAAAACAATACGCGAGGGAGGAATTGAAAAAGTGCCTGTCGTACACGTGTTTGCCTTATATAGGTGGCCGTTAGAGCAGGTTCCACTGTAATTGTAGACGTAGAAAGATGTAGAAGGAGCAGACCACGATAGTCAGAACCGACGAAACGCCAGAACTTACGACAGATGAAAGCGTCCTCTTTATCAAATGACATTTCAAGACTGAAAGACGAAAGTAAATAAGGGGCCTGCTTACAGAAGCATCAAATTCTGTTATTGAAACCCTTAAAGGGATAATCTATAGGCTCAAAAAGAAATAAGTATTGGGAATTTTTTCTTCTTTTTCCTCTTTACTCTGTTTTCTATTTTCTATTTTGGATGATGTGGTTTTTTTCTATTCTTCGAGTGGTACCCTTTTCGGACTGTTAATTAGATTCCACCTTGGAACCATAATATATATCTACGAATGACTTATAAGGCTTTGTTTTTTGTTGTCTTTTAAAATATTTTATTAATAAATTTCACCTTTTGATTAATCATTCCCACCTTTAGGTACCGTATGAGGTGAAAGGGTGCAAATAATGTGATTGGTAAACTTAGATTGTATTAAGAGAGTCATATTTTGTCAGCTATAGAATGTGAAACGTGTGGATTGTATAAGTTCTTATTGTGGGTATATTTGAATTAATTACAACAACAAAGACACAAATGCAAATGTTTCACCTTGAGGTAAACCATATTTTTAACAATTTATTATATAAAAAAAACACAATTATAATTAATTGAGATGTCCTTCACATAGGGCCTAATTAACAGAATGACCATTTAATTAAAGGTTGAATTTTTTGTTTGTTGTAGTTTGACATTTTATTGGATACGCAATTTTGCTGGTTTTCTAGATACATCAAAACTTCTAGTACTTTTGAAGCGCACCTACGTTTTCAGTAAGCGGGCCAAACTTCATGCAAAATGATGAACAAATAAAAGTGATGGTGAGAAGAATGAACACCCGTATCGATTTCAAGTGAAAATCAGAAATGTCATTCTTTGAGAAAATAATTCTCTTTATCTTTATATTTTTGGAGTAAGTATCAAGCTGACTCCATTTGAAAAAATGTAAACAAACAAACAAGCAAATAAGCAAACAGAATAAACAAACAAACACAAAACTACAAAAGATAATTCAACTATTCAAAAGAGCATAATACACTAAAATAATTGCTCCTTGTCTTCAATGCTTTTAATTAAAACGACATGAAATTCGCTCCTGGCTAACCCCTATCAAGAGCATTTGCCGAATTTCCAAGTCCCTCTATTCTCTTGATTACAAAATCTGGGCTTACCAGCTAACTGGAAGCTCTGCTGCATCATCTTGTTTGTTATTCATTAATTATGCTTTCGATGGCAAACTGTCAACTGTTTTGAAGCCTAGAAAGCATTTTTTTAAGGAGAGAAGAAAATCTGCTTCATTTTAAAAAATGATGATGATGATGATGATGATGATGATGATGATGATGATGATGATGATGATGATGATGATGATGATGATGATGATGATGATGATGATGATATTCATAATAACAACAACAACAGCAACAACAAAATCAACAATAATAATAATAACAATAATAATAATAATAATAATAATAATAATAATAATAATAATAATAATAATAACAATAATAATAATAATGATGATGATGATGATAATAATAATAATAATAATAATAATAATAATGATAATAATAATAATAATAATAATAATAATAATAATAATAATAATAATGATGATGATACTACTTTACTACTACTACTACTACTACTACTACTACTACTACTACTACTACTACTACTACTACTACTACTACTACTACTACTACTACTACTACTACGACTTCTACTACTACTACTACTATAATAATAATAATAATAATAATAATAATAATAATAATAATAATAATAATAATAATAATAATAATAATAATAATAATAATAATAATAATAATAATAATAATAATAATAATAATAATAATAATAATAAAGTGTCTAAAGCCGCTTCACAATACGATGATATTCAAATCAACATTCCATGCATTCGAGTGCATTCAAAGTGAACTTTGTACGGGTAATTAATTTCAAATACATTTATTATGTATCCGTCATTTGATAAAGAACGCAAACACGAGCCCCAACAGACAATGACCAACCACTGAGGCTATTGATCACACCTGTTGTTGGAAGAGGATTCAAACTATGTAGTATGGTTTGTACAAGGGGGTTAAATTTTCATTTGTTAGTTTGTTTGTGTGTGTTGTTGTTGTTGCTGTTGCTGTTGCTGTTGCTGTTGTTGTTTTTACCATGTACCAGGTTTAATTGCAGCCATAGTGGGCGCCTCTCCTAAATGCAGTGGGTGACGTCAGAATTAATACATGTATTAATATCTGTGGGAATGCAGCAGGCTTGGGGTTGGAGCAGGGTACAACTCTCACAATTTGGATGATTTAGGAAGAATAAAGCTGTTTCATCCCTACCGAGACTGAATAGGAAACATCCCAGCAGGTAGACGGAGACAACTGCAGTTGTAATTAAATGCTGACTTGTATCTTCTATAGAATCATGCACATATGAACAAGAAATACGAACTTTGATCGCAGAAGCTCGTAAAAACAGAAGTATTTATATTTGGAGCCATGAGTAGTGGAGTTGCAGTTCGTACGAAGGCTCAAGCGCGGTTTGATATCACCCAGAAGGTTTGTTTTTTAGCAGAAAAGACCCAAAATGGAAGGCAAAGAGCATTGCTGTGACTATGCAAATACTGATATAATAGAAATACAAATAATATGTGGATCTATCATATGAATCTGATTTTAATTCCTCCCGAATCCGAATCTTTCTCTTGAATTAAATCTAGGTACAGCTAAACTTTTCGAAGACAGCAACACATTTTTAAAGAGAAAATGACCGTCTTAGACAGGCGAAAGTCTTATAAATAAATGTCATTTTAATAACAATAATGAAAAATGCAATTGGGAAATGGGAAGTGGCCGTTTATATGGGTGATTGTCTTATACAGATGGCAGTAAGAGCAGATGCGAGTGGGTTTCTACGCCCCCATCGACACAATTTAAATCCTTTTGAAGGCCACGAGATTCGACTCTGTTTTTCAGAGCCAACCCAGGCTGAGGGGGACACAACATCCCAGCGGAAAAACCGGGATATTCGACAACAAATTCTCCTCAATCAGCAATCGAACTCAAGTCTCCTGCGTTTGATGGCGAAATGCCTATTGGCCACACCACAGAAACCGATCAACTTGAGTCTGGTCAATGAAATAAACTCGCCCAAAAAAGTCAAGGAACAGCTTGTGTTTTCACCTGTTAAATTCAAACTTCAATATCTCACAAACCCGTTATGATCAGTCTACCAAACTTGGCACACGCACTGACGACAAGACACAGTTTGCCTGTACGGCAAATCTGCCAGCACCAGCTTCAGAGCGATGACGCAGGGCATTCTGAAACATAGCCGAAAAGCATGAAAAATGGGCTAAATTTTTCTGAATCAGCAACATTGGCCATAGGGACTGTTAGCTAAAACTAAGCTTGGCACGTGCTAAAAAGATGTCTTAGCTAAGATTGCTCACTTACAACCCTTTATAAGCCAGCGTTTTTCTACCATGTTTCATTACAACACGATGGTCCAACAACACTCGCTGTCTGACGTCAACAGAGGACGAGCCCTTACCTGGCTCCAAGATGGCTCCACGTTCCCAGTTGTTGCACATCGATTTGGGGTGTCTCCATCAGTCATATAGAGGCTGCAAGAACGATGGCGAGCGACCGGAAGGGTCCCGGACAGGCCTCGACCAGGATCGCCCCGTTTGACCAACAACAACGTCGACCGGTTCATCGTCAAACAGGCCGTGACATCACGATCCACCACTGCAAACGGCATCAGGGACCAACTACGGGTGACAGCCAATGTCCACGAGAGCGAGGAGACGGTAAGAAACCGTATCCGTAGAGCCAGGTTAGCTTCTTGTGTCCCTGCCAGGCGCCCAAGGCACACGCCGCCCAACAAAGTAGCTCGCCAGGCGTGGCCTGCTCGCCAATAACAGTGGACACATTGTCAGTGGGACCAGGTAGTCTTCTTGGACAAATCCAGATTCAACCTGCAGCACCCAGACAGGGGAGCCCACGTCTGGAGGCGCCGAGGAGAGCTGTTCCACCCTGAGTGCATCCACCAGGTGGCGCCCTACTTTGCAGGGTCCGTTCTGGTATAAGGGGGCTTCTCAGCTCACCACAGAACCCCGTGTACCATATACAGGGCAATTTGACCTCGGCTAGGTACAGGGAGGAAATCCTGCGTCCCCTTGCTGTTCCTCTCCTGAAGCAGATTGGACCCGAGGCTGTACTGCAGGACGACAACGCCACGCCATATCGCGCATGCGTCGTGGGGGACTTCCTGCAGCAGCGAGCTGTTACCTGCATGGACTGACTAGCTTGTAGTCCGGATTTGAACCCAACAGAGAGCCTTTGGGATCACATTGACCGGTGGATAAGGGACAACCACCCTTCTGCACAAAACCGTCAACAACTCTTGGGCTACCTCGTCCTACCTTACATCACAAACGTGTCAATCCACAGATGGCCAATATCATTAGTTCTCTTAAAAAAATAAAAATATACCGTTTTGATTTTGTTATCCTTTGTTCTCATAGGATGTGAGCGTAATCGACCTTCTGGTTTAATTTTTGGCACTCGATCCAGGTTGTTGTTGTTGTTGTTGTTGTTGTTGTTGTTGTTGTTATTGTTGTTGTTGTTGTTGTTGTCAATCCAGTTTTTAAAAATATGGAACACTTCAAGAATATGCGTGTCATCTTTGTGCAGGGGACATGCTAATTTTCTCTCTATCATTCCAATTTTGTGTATTCCTGTCTGAACAGTAAAGTAAGATTTT